GCCTCAAGAGGCCCCCAGGAAGGCCCACGGGATTATGTACCACAAGGGGGTCGGTTGGTAGATATTCCTGGGCACTTCTTGGAAACATATGTGGTGCTCTTGGGGGCCACCTGGGGGCCCCAAGAAGCCTTGTAGGGCCCCTTTTCCGGCCCTCCGAGGCCGTCTTCCCTCCTGCCTCCTCCTCCTACGTTATCCTGATTCCTCCTGCAGCACCCATCCTCTGCATCCTCCTCCTGCCTCCTCCTCCCCCCCTCCTCCTCCTCCTCCTCGCCCTCCTTCATCCTCTCCTGCACCTGCATATTGTTATTCCTCATCCTCCTCCTCCCTCCTCCTCTTCCTCCTCCTCCTGCCTCCTCCTGCCTCCTCCTGCTCCTCCGGCTCCTCAGGGCAACAGGGGCCCCGGAGCATTCAGAGGGCCGTTGGGGTCCGCACTGCGCTCCCCACTGCACTCCCCGCTGCGCTCCCCACTAGCGCCCCACTAGCGCCCCACAAACGACTGTCACAGGGTTCGTGGCCATGCCGGATTCGGCTTAAAGTCGAGTGCCACAGTCGAGTGCGAAGTCCCGCTTAAGATTTCTCGTGGGCTCGTTGGTGGGCTCGCTAGTGGGCCCCTTAGTGGGCTCGTTAGTGGGCTCGTTAGTGGGTCGCTAGTGGGCCCCTTAGTGGGCTCGTTAGTGGGTCCCTTAGTGGACTCGTTAGTGGGTCCCTTAGTGGGCTCGTTAGCGGGCTCGTTAATGGGTCCCTTAGTGGGGGCGTTCGGGGGTCCGCTCCTGGGCCGTTCGTGGGCGGCCTCCTGGAAGAGCCTCGTTGTTGCCTGGTGGGCTTCTTGATGCGAGCCCTGAGTGACTTCGCCCAAGAGGGTCCGAAAGGTTTCAAGACCCACCGATGAGGGCCCAACGGAGACTTCGAGAGTCCGACGGAACCCGACGGAGCCGGAAGGAGCCATACGGAGCCCGACGGAACACGACAGAGCTCAAAAGGGAAAGGAAAAAGCGACAGGATGAGCCCGACGAAGCCTGACAGAGCCCGACTAGAGGAGGGAGGAGGACAAGGAAAGGAGGAGGGAGGATGACAAGGGGAGATGCGGAGCCCGACGGAGCCCAATCGAGCCCGCAAGAGCACCACGAGAGCCTCGCGAGAACCCCTGGGGGAGCCCGGCGAGAGCCCCGCGTGAGCCCCACGAGACCCCGAGCGAACCCCGAGGAACGCCCGGCGAAATCCTTGCGGGGAACCCCATGAGAGCCCCGCAGGAACCCCGCGAGAGCCCAACGAGCGAGCCCCACGAGACCCGTGGGAGCCCAAAAAAGCCCCACGAAAACCCCGCGAGGCAATGCCGGCCCCAAAGACAGTGCTCGAGGGAGGCAGGCCGCGTATTTTGACGGTCGAGCCATCTTCACCACATGTAGGATGCACTTGTGCATCGTTCTCGTTCTTCACTGGCCCATGCACGTGTTTTTCGTCACCCGCCCATGTATGCATATTTCCATATGCTGGCCGATGCTCAATGTCGTGTTCTAAACTGGTTAATGCTCACATGGTCGCACGCACATTGGCCCATGCATATATTGCGCACGTCTGTGGCGAAGGTCCCCTTTGCAGCTTAACTGTTATACATGTTGAAGCACCCGCAAGTTCCTTGATCGGCGATGCAATTTGGGCCGATGGGTCGATGGGCCGTCGGCAGTCGTCTGCAGAAAGCACCCCCTGTCAGCGCGCGCAGGGATGCCGAGGGCGACTGACACGGCTGAGAAACACTCGCCCGACTCACTATGTGAGCCTCCCGGGCGCGACACTGGGAGGAAGCCTCCGAGTGCCTGCAGGGCGGTGCATGGCAATTTGTGAGCGCTTGACAGTAATGGCCACCTGTGAGTGTTTTGCAATGTCGGGAAAACGTTGGCGGGTCACTTCCAAACCACGCCAAAATAATGACCGCACGTTTAAGACGACTCTGCCGCTATCATGCAATGCGCATGCCGTTGGGCATGCACCGGGCCCCGCCCCGCGCAATCGCCATGGCCGCGAACCATTCTGGCGAGATGCGCAACCATGGGCATACGCGCGCCCGCGATTCAGCCACCCCCCTGGAGAAGGAGGGGGCAAAACCATAGCGCCCGAATCCAACAAAAACGGCGATGAGCAATGAGTTCGGAGCGCGAGTCCAGCGCGCGCCGCAAAAGCGAAACACGAGGAAAAAAAAAAAAAAAAAAAAAAAAAAAAAAAAATGGAAACAACAAAAAAATAGTGGATCCTAGCCTCGGGGAGAGCTGAGGGTTTGCTCTGACGTTGCACCGGCGCTGCCCGCGGCACTGGATCCAGGGGGATTGCGTACTCCGACCTTGGTGAATCGATCCTGGACCTCGGCGTCCACGCCTAGCCATGGGAGAGAATCTGAAATGTCCACTGGCGCTTCGACTCCTATCTGGCTGTTGAGCGAGGGAAGGACTGGGGGCTTGGCTGGATACAGTGCTCTGAAGTCTCGATCCAGGATGTGATCCAGGGTGGCCAGGCCTATGTTCCATATCGGGACCAGGCAGCGTCGGCAGCACCATGTAGCGTTCCATTTGCGCTCCCACCAGGCCACGGCTCGCTTGTCGACGGGGGGCAGTCCAGCTTGCTCGGGAACACCTATGCCTTCCGCCGGCTTCCATATGAAACATCCCAGGGGCGGGGGGCCAGTGTCCCAGACGAGGAGCGGGGCCCCCTGGGGGCATGTGTCGCACCGCGCGGAAAAGATCTGGGTCTGTGCGGCTTTGATGCCGAAGCGCTCGTCCCGGATCCGTAGGATGGGAATGGTGGTACTGGCTCGCTCGGGGATCTTCACGCCCGTCGGCGCCATGAGGAGGTCCGCTAACGTCCTCGCGTCCGCCTGGGGGCTGCATCCGAAGCCACGTGGGAGGTGTCCCAGGGAGGGGAGGGCGTACGCCTTGTCGTTGTTGGCACCCGTCCTCTGTTGCTCATGCTCCTTGACTTTGTCGGCGAATGTCGCTCCTGTCGGCGTTGCGAGGCCTTGTTCCTCCAGGTGGCGTAACCAGCAGATGTCGCAGTGCCACCCCATGTTGGCGCCGTTGATGTAGGCCTGAGGCCTATTCTGAGCGACCATCTGGCACGTGGTGTCGGAGATCCAGGTGCCATCAGAGGGGCGCAGATGGTCCTTTCCGCAACTGTCGCACCTGAATATGCAGTTTTTCTGCTCGGGTGCGAGCCTCTCGTCGGGGATGTATGGAGGGTCCTGTCTGGTGCCTGGGGCGGGGGTCGGCGGCGGGGGGGCATTGAGGTCGGTGTTGGACAGGGCAAGTCCGCCGCCGATGTAGGAGAGACCCGCAAGCCGATCGCCAGGACCCAGGGAGGCGTCGGTCCCCGCCAGCGCAACGTGTAGCGCACACACTGAGCAGCTGCGCGTATCCAGGGAGATCGGAGTTGCGGCCGGGACGATTTTTCCAGGACGAGCATTGGCGCATTTAACTGGAGGTCCTGCCTGTCCATCTCACTCCAGGTCTGCGGGCAGCCGGCTGCCTGCGCAATCGGGTGGTGGTGCGCCAACGCCACGAGCTTGGAGATGTGGGGCAAGACTGCCTCGATGCGTCCGTGTAGGTCGGCTAGGTCGTCCAGCGTGAGGCTCCAGGTTCGGGCGAATTGGCTTCGGAAATCCTGGTGAACCTCTTGCCAGGGGACACAGAACCCCAGGATGGTTTCGATGACGTCCCCGGCCTGCTCTGCATGAGAGAAGGGCCACAGAAACACGCACGGCTCGCGGAGCATGAGCATCATGACGACCAGGAGTGACCGGGCCTTGCAGGATTCCATGGGGAGGCCGTCGGTGTCTATGATTCCCTCACGGAACTCATCCATCATGGACCCGCCCAGCGCCCCTCGGAGGATCTCTCCCAAACCGGCCATTCCAGGGTGCTTCCTGTGTCTGCAGCAGTCCTTGGTGGCGGTACTCCACGCCTTGGGGACCTGGCGGAAGAGCCCCTTGGGGGTGCACTGGCGACGCTTCCAGAGTGCTACACGCCTGCCACTGGTGTGAGGCAACGGTGGAAGGGAGTCGTCCGGGACTGCGTAGCTCGCGTTTTCCCAGGGGGTGCCCAGGCCGAGCGTCCACACCATTGCCGCCCACAGCATGTTGTAGACTAGATTGGTTGCGTCTACTCCCAGAGACATGTCAAACAAGAAGCCCAAGTGCGACCACGCCTTGCGGTCGAGCTTGCCCGGCTGTCGCGGTGTCGTGGCCAGTGAGAATTCGTGGGGGTGCAGACCGGACATCAAGTAAATGAGCACGTGGAAGGCAGGCGTCGAGAGGATATCGTGGAACCCGCCCGAGATTAGCTTACCCAGGGCCTCCCAATCGAAGTGTTCGTCCAGGGGTGTGTTATAGCGCTCGGCAAAACCGGTGGCCTGGGCGTCACGCGCTTTCTTCTTGGCAGCGTCAAGCTCGTTCTGCCCGTTCTCCCCCTTTGCGTCACAGCTCTATGCGATGGGCGAGGGTATCCATGATGCGAGGTCGTGCAGTGGGTCGAAGCGTCAAGAATTTCTGGAGCTTCACCTTCCCCTCCACCTCCCATGCTTTCTCATGTTCACCTGGAAATCGACGCCCATTCGTGTTTGCCGGGGGCGAAGGAGGGGGAGGAGGGGTGAGGAGGAGGAGGAGGAGGAGGAGGAGGAGGAGGAGGAGGAGGAGGAGGAGGAGGAGGAGGAGGAGGGGGGAGGGGGGAGGGGGGGGGGGAAGGGGAGGGGGGGGGGGGGGGGGGGGGGGGGGTGGGGGGGAGGAGCCTCTCGTTGGCTCCGGGCACACGGGGTCTTTCGTAGTGCGGCCAGAGAGATCACGCGGATCATCCTCTGGCCCACGGCGCGCGGCCTCCCCGCAGTGCTCACGAAGTCAAGTGCAACGCGCTCTGCCCGCGTCCGACCCCATCCGGCACGAACGCCTGCGCACGAGCCACTGAGCACAGTTTCGAGACCCCCCTGTGCAAAGGGCCCTTTAGCCCGAATCCCACTTCGACCTTGACCTCGGCCAGCCCATCGACGCTTGGAGCGGAACTGACAGAGGCGCGACGCGACGCGGAAGCCCCCGCGGCGCGACGCTTCGACCGGAAGCAGACGAGGCGCCGGGGCACGGCGATCACGATGAGCAGCGCCCCGAAGCCCTCCAAGAAGGCGGCGGCAGCACCGGCGAGCCGATTCGTCAGCGGCGACCGACCTGAATCGGCGGTGCGCACGAGGAGGTAGGGGCAGGGGGGAGGGTTTCTGAAAGGAGGCTGCTTCTTAGAAGGCGCAGGCCCTACATCTACAGACAAGGCCCGCGCCTTCTAAGAAGCAGGGGTGCTTCTAAGAAACCTTACCCCCTCCCCCTAACCCCCCTCTGCGCGTGGCCGACTTAAGACGAAGCCAGGACGAGGATAAAGTTGGGTGAGGATAAATCCGCAGGCCCCCTTGCGGGGCCACCATGCTGTAGGGCGAAGGTTCGCAGTTTCCTGTACCAGTTGCAGCTTCCAGTTTCCACTGTTACAGTTCTGCGTCTTGCTGCTCACTGTTCCTTGTTGATGGACCGCGCGAGGGGGGGAGGCCCAAAACGAACATTTTTACACGCCCTGAGCGTGTGCTCTGAACTGCTGGGGTGGGTAAAAACTTACACCCCTCGCGCAGATCGGCGGGGTCAGGGTCCAAAAACAGGATTTGCTACATTTCTGAAATTCCGTGGTACCCCTCACGCAGATCGGCGGGGTCAGGGTGCAAAAACAAATTCGGTTGCACCCCTCACACAGATCGGCGGGGTCAGGGTCCGAAAACACAAGAGATTTGCCACATTTCTGAAATTCGGCGGCACCCCTCACGCAGATCGGCGGGGTGAGGGTCCAAAAACACAAGGGATTCGCCACATTTCTGAAATTCGGCGGCACCCCTCACGCAGATCGGCAGGGTCAGGGTCCGAAAACACACAGGATTTGCCACATTTCTAAAATTTGGCGGCACCCCTCACGCAGATCGGCAGGGTCAGGGCCCGAAAAAACCCAAGAGATTTGCCACATTTCTGAAATTCGGCGGCACCCCTAACGCAGATCCGTAGGGTCAGGGTCCAAAAACACAAGGGATTCGCCACATTTCTGAAATTCGGTGGCACCCGTGACGCAGACCCGTAGGGTCAGGTTCGAAAAACAAACAGGTCCCGACACTGCTTCACGGCGGCGCCCAGACCTCATGATTTAGCCTTTGCATCTCCCATTATCCGAGACAGGGGGCCGGCGGCATGGGGCAAAGCCCTTACAGATCGAGAATCTCTGAGATCCGGCGGCTCTGGAGGATGTCTCGGGCGCTGCGGCCTTCTCCGAGCGCTCCAGAATGCTCTGGGAGCGTGCCAGAACTCTCTGGGACATATTTTGTCCTCGTTCTAGCCCATCCTAGACCTCCTTCTGGAGTCTCGCCCAACTCATGGTCTGGGTTCACAAAGCAAGGGATCAAGGCGTACAGAAGGAAGATGCCGAACAGCTGCAGATGCAGGACATGCCACTCCGGGAACGTCCAATTGCTGATCACGGACCGTATATGCTGCATGGCCACCACCGACAACAGGCACACCGACAGCGCCTGTGCCAAACTTTCATCGAGAAGCTCGAACAAGATCTTGAACGGCTCTTTTCCCAGAGTTGTCTCCTCGACGTTGAAGATGATTGATGCGTGATCCGTCTCCATGGGCATGTCGAAGAGCGTCCACCTCGAATCGGGGTCGACTGCAGAATTGGCTTACCCCAAAAAAATTGACTTCCCTGTCGAGCCTGCAGCACATGGCAGACTGTTCCGCAGATCCACGGAGCAGTCCACGATGCTTCGCAGATTCGACGGGAAATCAACTCTGGGGTAAATCAATTACTGGCCATCGCTCGGACTTCCATTTGTTGTGTTTTTTTCGGTTTCGTGCGAGGTTTTTTCGCCAAATGGTCAAGGATGCTCCTCGATGGTTCTCGCCGAAGAAAAAATGCACACGTCCGAGCGATGCCAAGATTATGTAGTTGATCCCCTACTCGCATACCCTAGCACTGAGGGCGACGCCCCCATTGCTGCAGACGGTGGGGGGGGCGCAGTGCCCGTCGCTGCTGGCTGGCGTGGCGCCTCCCTTTGGCCAGAGCGGCTAGCGAACGACGGGCGATGCTGCTGATGATGCTGCTGGTGGAGCTGCCGATGGTCTGCTGATGCTGATGATGCTGGTGAGCGTTTTCTCACTCGGCGTTTCGACATTGGGACAAAGGGGAGGGTGAGGGGGGGGTCTGGCTCCAGACCTCTGCTGAATGCGACTACTTGCAACAGTGCGTCAAAAAGGGGAGGGACTCCACCTGCTTGAAACAAGCGCCAAAAACAGGCAAGATCTACACCATGGGGGGGAGGAGATGCGAGGGCCCGCGCCGATAGACAAAACAATGTATCAGGAAACGGTCACCTGCTGATGATAATGTCGATGTGGTAGCTTGCTGGACTGTCCACCAAGCCCTTGATGCTACCGTTCTGGATAGCCACTGTATGCCCCACGACAGGGAACACAAGAGCCGTAGAAAACCCAATCTTGGAAGATGGCCCCGAGTAGTTACGCCATCCCTTTCGAGTTCTTAATGGCCAGGGTGACTCCTCCTATAAGCTAAGAAGGGTACGAAAATGAGGATAACTCGCGGGGTGCATAATGCAAAGGTTTTAACCATCGTATGGCCTTGGAGAGATGCCGAGATGACCACACTGATTGAATACTATATCTCTGCTGTGCCCTTGCATACAAGGTCAACAGGCAGAGAGCCTGGGACAAGACTAGCTACTGCTGCTGCAGCTGAGGCTGCTGAGGCTGCTCGTGTCGCTGATAGAAGTGCTGCTACTGATGGTGCTGCTGCCGATGCTAATGTTGCGAGGGTTGTGCTGCTGATGATGCGATTGATGCGGTTGCCGAATATAGCGCTGATGTTGCTTGCGCTGCTGCTAGATGCTAGATGTGCTGCTGGTGATCATGCTCATGTTCGTGCTGCACTGCTGGTGATGATGCTGTTAATGCTGCTGGTGAATATGATGCTGCGCCGCTGGTGACAATGATGACGACGATGCTGCATATGATACCAGTTGTGCTTCAGGCACTACCGCTGCTGCTGCTGGTGATGCTGATTGCACTGCTGATGACGATGCTGGTGCTGCTGGTGCGCTGAATGCTGATGATGCTGCCAGTGCTGTTCATGGTGCTGCTGGTAATGCTGCTGGTGCTGATGCTGCGGTGCTGCTGATGATGGCAGATGCGTCCCGACGAATGCCCCCGACTGATGCCCGCGACGCCCGCTGCGTCAGATGTCACTCCGCTGGACCCCCAGGAGCACACGGAAGGGTGGCAACGGTTTTTCAGCTCGCAGCTCCCAGGAACCACGAAGACTCAGACGCCACCCCGCTGGACCCCCCAGGACCACGCCAACGTGGCGACGGCTTCGCAGCTCGCGGCTCACAGGGGCGGCGAGGTTCCACTTAGCTTTGCGCAGGACGCCCCTGCGCTGGAGACCTCAGGAGCACACGAATGAGGCGACGGTGCCCCAGCTCGCAACTCATAGGGATGGCCACGTCCTGCTTTGATCTGCGCTTGACAGACGCCACCGCGCTGGATTCCCCAGGACCACGCCATACGTGGCGACGGCGCCGCAGCCCGGAGGCCCCATGAACGGCAAGCTCTCGCTCTGACTTGAGTAGGACGTCCCTTCGCTAGACCCATTACTCCCAGCTCGCAGCCCCCAGCTCGCAACCCTCAGGGGCGGCGAGGTTTCCTGGTGACAACGTGAGACGTCAGCCCGATGGACACCCCACGAGCGCGTGAAAGTGTCAACGGTTTCGCGGTCCGCAGCCTTCAGGGACGTCGGAGTCTCATTTCAATCTGCGTAACATTTTGCTCCGCTGGAGCCCCCAGAGAAGACGAAACGGGCGAGGGTTTCGCATTCCCAGCCCCCCAAGAACGGCGACGTTTCATTCTGATCTGGGTAACATGATATCCCGCTGGACTCCCCAGAGCACACGAAAGTGGCGAAGGGCTTGCAGTTCACAACCCCCCATTGGACCGCGATGTCGCATTCTGAGATGCGTAAGACATCACTCCGCTGGACCCCCCAGGAGCACTTCGAAAGAGGCGACGGTTTTGCAATTCGCAACCACCACCCCCTTGAGGGAAGGCAAGGCCAGCAGGAGGACGGAGGAGGGGGGGCGGGAAGCACATGGGAGAAGGAGACGCGCGAAGACTGATTCCAAGCGGATATCCAAACAGAGAGGGGCTGGGAAGAAGAAAGATGCGCGAGGAGGACAGAGGTAACGAAGCAGGAAAACTATAATGTAAAGCGGTGAGCACAACGGATGTTGTCTGTATAGCGGTGTCTAAAGAGCGCCATGGGTAAGGTACGCTTGAGAGCGGGCGCGGAGCCTGGTCCTTGCGCTCGACGCGCGCCAAGGCGAGGTCGCTGGCATTGGCGGCGGCGGCGCCGCTGAGGCTGGGGCCATGTGAAATAGGGCACGCCCCCTTGCCAGCGCCGGCCTGGACTGTCGCGCGCGAGATGCCCCTCTGAATCGGACTCGCGGCACTTGAGACGCGCCACGTCTGGGCCCAATGGGTCGGCCTGACAGCCAAGCCCCAATCCATCGGTCCTACGTTTGCTCTTCCCCCACACTTGCCCCCCCGAATCCTGCGACCGTCGCGCGGAGGTCCGCGTCGGACAAGTCTGCCAAGAAGGCGCAGTAGCCTTTTTGTCGCGGCCCTTTGCGCTTGCGCCCGATGACCCCCCCCGCGCGGCGCGCGGGCTCGCGGCCGCCGAAGCGGCGCCATCGGGACTTGGCGCGCCCGTGAGCCCAGAAGAAGCATGCGCCGACCTGCCCCACGGGGGCGTCGCTCAGTTCGGGATCGTCGGCGGCGATCTCTTCGTCGGCGTTGGAGTCGGCATGCGCTGCCGGCAGACCCGGCGCCGCCCCATGCGCTGTTCCAAAGGCACTCTGATAAACTCCAGTTCCAAAAGCACTCTGAGCCTGATATCGAGACGGCGCGCCCGCGAGAAACGCCTGGAGTTGCGACGAGCTCGCGGCCGATGCGAGATTGCCCTGCGAGACTTCAATCATGTGACCAAGTCGGCGCAGCTGGCCCTCCGCGCGCGCCAGCTGCGGCGCGCCCGCGGCGCAGGCCGCGCCGCGGCGCCGCGGGGCCATAGCGAGCTGCATGTCTGGCGCGCCCACCGCGCGCAGCAGGAGGTAGCTCGTGCCCACGCATCCGATCATGAATTGACCGGCCCGCTGCGCCCTGTTGAAGGGGATGTCGAGCCTGGCGAGGAGGTTGTCGATGCGCTCCTGGGGCAGTGGGTTAAAGCCCAGATGGGCGGACACTGCCTGCGCGCGCCCCCACTTTCCAAGCTGGCCCCGCCTATCGGGCAGACCGCGCGTAAGGTAGGTCATGGGCGGCACTGGGTCGCCTTTGACATGACAGCCTTAGACGAGGACAGCCAGCGGCCACTCGCAAACGCACTCGCGAGCCATGCAGGTCAAGCGAGACGAGACGCAAGCCGCCTGGCGGAACTCGTCGAAGTCGGTCTTCGCCGCTGACCAAAGCATTACCTCGAGCGCCCACCGTTGGAAGGGCACGCGAGCTTGCTACTCGGGCCCCCAAGCGCCCAGGCGACGCACGTTGCCGCTGCCGCCGCCGCCCGCGCCCATGCAGGCGACGCAGCTGACGGCGGCGAATGTGGTCCACCCCGACGGCCTTCTATCCGGATTGGAGCCCCATCAAACGCCGAGGAGGCGCGACAGTCCTGGCACCCACCAACAGCGATGCTCAGGTAGTGGTCAACGCAGCCGTCGTGGACATCGGCCCCTGGCGTACGCATTGGGCCATCCCTTCTGTCGCACGATTGGTTCCCAGGCTGCACTCGGAGCATCCCGCCACATAGTGGCGTTTCAGCTCATCGCGTGTCGCACTGCTGCTGCACAGGGCACTGCTAAGTGGACAACAATCCAGAGGAGTACGCAGAGGGATCCAGGTATGCCCTGAAGCAAAGAGTACGTAAGCAACACTGAAAGTCACGCGCCGGAGTGCCGACAGCGAGCAGTCCAAGACCCTCGCGGCAGCCCCACGGAACACAGGCAACATGGTTGCCCGACCCTCCTTCGAAGTCCCGTTCTGGCCTGCATGTGCTTCCCCCGCCTCTAGCACATAGTTGCCCTTGGCTCGGGACGTCCATCCACCGCCGACGATGCGAGCGTCGGACCCAAAAGCTGCTGGACATAGGTGGCTACACCCACAAGCGAATGAAACGCAGGCGGCACGCACTGATCCTCGTCTCCCTCGGGCTGTAGCCACACGGTTGCGCTCAGTTTGGGATCCTGCACCGTCGCCGCGGATGTGACTGCCGTTTCGGGCGGCTGCTCGACATTAGCGGTCCCCCCCATAGGCGGGGGCTGTGGCGACGAGGACGTTCCGAGACTGTCGAAAATACTTCGAAACAGCTCGGAAAAAGAAGAGGATGGAGGGGCACCGTCCTTGGTGTTGTACTGGTTGTGGTATATGTGTTTGCGTTCATGCGCCCACGGTTGCGGCTGGGCCGGGTTGGCCCTTGCCTCGGGAAGGAACATCATCAGCACAAACGTGGAGCGGATTGTACAGCAGAAGGTCGTCGATGACGGTGGATGAAAACAAACGTTTTGTGTATAGCGGTGTCTAAGAGCGGAATGCGTCAGGTGCCACGTAGAGCGGGCGCGGAGCTGGGCCACGCTTGAGCCAAACGCCCATGGCCCAGTCCTGCTCCCTGCTATGCTACAAGCGTGCTGACACCCCTGCTGCCCAGTAAGCTGCCGTTCGAGTGGATCTAGAAGCACG